ACGGGAAGATTTAGGTCCAAAAAGGACCATCCAGCAACAGAGATTTCAACAGCAATCCTGAAGCTCCAAGATTGCATGTTGTGTTGTAGCGACATCAGCTCTGGAAATCCGACCATTTTTATTCTTTCTCCAGCCTGAGCCCTTAAGTATATTTTCTTTCTGAAAGGTTAACATTGTTTTTGACCTAACCCTGATTTTCTTATTCTGTTGGTATTTGAAACTGTATTTTCTTATACTTTCCTCATGCATTATTTTAGACTGGGGTGGGGATACATATGCAACTCTCAGAATTCCTGAGTAAGCAAGGGCCATCATTCCCCATATGGTCTATTTAAATCATAGACCACACATAGACCATGCCTATACATCAGTCAGGGGTGGGTTCCATATTCTTTTACTGTCAGTTCGCTCAGGGATGCGCTTTGGGTGTGTATGCACTTTGGGCGCATGCATACTTTATGCGCATTATGTGCGCATGCACAGTAGTGAAAAATTGCTTCTGTGCATGCGCAGAAGCAAAAAACAAGATGGTGGTGCCTACAGCGCCACTGATAGAACTGGTTTGGGGGCAAGGGTGGCTGAGTTACTACCTACTTGGCTGAACCAGACCTTACCAGTAGGAATCCACCTCTGGCATCAGTGCATGCAAGGGGGTAACAAAATGTTCCTGTTGATGTGAAGTCCACACCTTACCACAATGCAGATGCTGTGTGCAATGCAGTTAACAAAGGGTGGAGCTTCCATATGTAGGTAATTGGATTCCAACTATTTGCTCAGTGAGTGTTAAAAGTTATGATGACACTGAACAAGGGGAACTTACAACTCATCCATGAAATTGTAACCAATGTGGCATCCCTGCTTCAGATGCTTAGCATCAGCTTGCAATTAGGATGGTTGCAATGTTTCACTGTCATGTGTTCACCACTTACAGCCTTCCCTGCAGGCAGGTTTCTCACAAACAAGGTCATTGTAGAAGCTGGCAAGAAGTCTTAAGTCACTTCCATTCTCACTGCTTTTTCACTTGCCAGCCATGCTCTCTAGTGTCCACCCACTCCCCACATTCCATTGTACCTACCCACTGATAGTGAATGCCATTCACCAGCAGCCACACCTGTCAAGACTCTGTAGTGCCCACAGCACTCTCACCTTCCTGCATTCTGTAGTGCCCACCCTCAACACCCACTCACTTCATAGTACCTGCTCATGCTCCATACTACCCATACTCTATACTCACCCCCTGCCCATGCTCCATACTTCCCACCTATGGTACCCACATTCTAGAGGTGGGTTCCGGCAGGCACTACTGACAGTTTGCTTATGTGCACGCTGTTCTTTGCGCTTGGTGCATGCTGTGCACACATGCGCAGCACAATTAAAATTGTTCTGCCCATGCACAAAACTAAAAAACAAGATGGTGGCGCCTATGGTGCCGTCAAGGGAACCAGTTCAGGGGTGTGGCAGGCCTGGGTTGCTATTGGTTCCAGTGACCCAGGCCACCAAACTACTATCTGTTCGGCTGAACCGGTCCAAACTGGTAGGAACCCACCACTACCACATTCCCTACCCATAGCTATCATCCATCAGACAGTTTGCCTAAGGCTCCTGCCTCTTTCCACATCATAATCATATGAGGTTCTTGCTTAACAACCTTTATGGTCCTGGACTTATAGCAGCAACCAGGACTGCTGCAATTGCCATTGCTTTGTGATGTGGTCACATGACATCATACTTATGTCCACATTGCTTAGCAATACACATTCCAGTTCCAATTGCTGTTATAACCCCAGACTATCTGTAATGTCACAATATTTTATCTTTTTGTTCTCTTTGTAGAATCAGATATGTTTATACATTTCTAATGAAGCACCGCACTATCAGAATAAATATGTTCTCACTTTGTTATCATGTGTTTTAATTAAAAAGAAGCAGGAATAAAATTTGAACTTTGAGCACTTTTAAAAGTACTTGACCTTAATGTCAGATTATTACATAATTTCTAATTTAAATCAGAAAAAGTGTGTTAATATATTGTTTAACTCTTTAAGATATATCTACACTGGTCAATATTCCTAAGTATATAAAAATAAAATTATATATCCATAGCAGAGAAGATATAAATTACATGCTCCTTTTCAATGAAAGGACAGCGAAGTACTCTGTATTTTGAATGCCAGAGTAAATATGGCAGGAAACAGTTTCAGAAAAAATATTGGGGTTATAATTGCATATACCTGTGATGGTGAACCTATGGCACGCGTGCCACAGGTGGCACGTAGAGCCCTTTGTTTGGGCACACTAGACATTGCCCTGTCAGTTCCAGTGCATATGTGCGCACTGGCCAGCTGACTTTGGCCTTCTTTTGAAGCCATTTTTCGCCCTCCAGAGGCTTCCCTGGGGAGGGGAAAAAAAGAATGCCAAAAGTGGGGGGGAACGCTGCATATGTGGCATGCCTGTGCGTGGCCCGCCTGGCGCTCCCCCCCCGCCTTTGGCACTCAAACAAAAAAGGTTTGCCATCGCTGTCATATACTGATAATATTAACAGATCAGCTTTTTCATTTCCAAACACAGACATATGATATAGAATTAAAAATATTTCTTATAGGCAATGTGCTTTACAGTTACTAATTGTATAAAAATACTCATTAATTTTATTCTACAGAAATTGTTGCAGAGTATTATTATAGAGCCATACAGATTAGTAGTAGTGGATGGTAATGTAACAAAAAATGTTAAAAAGTTATGATATTTATGTAATTACTTACCAAGCACATCTAAATTATATTAAAGTAACCAAAATATCTTTATAATCCCCAAGGCATGTCACAACTTTTGAGCACCCCTAATGTTTGGAAATTGAAAGTTGAAGAATTTGACATGCCCTAATGGTTACAGCTCAAATAAAATGTACAGTCACCATGAGCCTTGCTGCTTAATGATTTCAATTATCACAGGAAACGCTCCTTGGAACATAAAGAACCATAGATTATAACCATAGATGCAAACTAAATGCTGCCATCTACTAACTGAATAATTCTGTAGTTGTTGCAATACAAAATACATTCTAACATCTATTCCAACACTCCCACTCAGTAACTACTCCTTATAATAATCCCATTTCTGCTGTCAGATCTATAAATCTTCTTCTTCTTAGCAGTTTTATCAAAACAACTGCAATTATGCTTTACAATACGTAAATACAATTTCATTTTGTTCAATCAGATCATGAATGTAATGATGTCTGACATCAATATACTTTGTTCTTGCATTTATCTTGTCATTGATGGCAAGTTTAATACACCCTTAATACAGTTGTCAACTTGCAAGACGATTTCAGCTGAAGTCGTGCTTATATCTGCTTTGTTTCTTGGTTGCCATTTGGTGAGGGGTGAGAGTATGGGAGGGGGGGCTCAGAAACGTGTTGCCTGAGCCAGCTAGTCACAACATCTCCCAGCCAGTGTGTGAACCAAGGTCATTTCAATGGACATTTGTCAAAGTTGAGCGGGAACCTACACCTTGATTGATTGGCCCATGTTGACCTGAGAGACAAAGGGTGTGGGGAGATCTTATTCTTTTAACCATTCGTGCACGCTGGAATACTTTACAGCTAGCTTCACCTTTCTCAGGGCAGATATGATGCACTCAATAAAGGATCTCTTGAACCTGCAAAAAGCGTCAGAGTCCTGACTCCTTGATTTCATTACTTGGAACAATGACATCAGTCATATAAGACTGTAGGCTGGGCGATCTCTCCAAGATCTTCAAGCAATTGATGTAACCACAGAGCTTCTTGTCTGGCATAAGCAGCAGCAATGTATTCTGTCTCTGCAGAAGACAAATCTACTGACGTTTGCTTCTTGCTGAACCAAGATATAGCACTATTTCCTAATTTGAACCAGTAACCATTTGTGGATTTATGAGTACTTAGGTCTCCTGCCTAATCAGAGTCCACGTATCCTTCGAGGTTCAAATGCTTCTCTGTACTGTTCATTAGTAGGAAGAAGATCCTCATTCTGTTCAGTTTTTAGATAAGCTGTGTTCATAGGAATACTTGCTTCTTTGGCTTCAGTCAGGCCAAACTGCTGAAGCAATTTTAGATTTCTGATTTAATAGGAAGCTGCTATTTCTTTAGGCTGTATACATTAATTCCTAGGTAATATGTCACATCTCTAAGATGTTTAGTCTAAAACGTTAGTTAAGCATTGCAGTCAACTTTGCAATTTTCTCATCTCTTTTGTAAACAACAATCAAGTCATCCACATAGAGTAAAATATAGATATATTCAGAATCTACACATTTTGGGTATAGACATGGGTAATCTCTGCTTCATATGAATCCTTTGTCTAGCAAGACTTCATTTATTTTTTTAAAATTTCATGCTCGAGCTGATTGCTTGAGTCCAATAAAGAGATTTCTGCAACTTGCACACAAGATGTTCTCCACTTTTCATATATCCTTTTGGCTGTGTCATAGATAGTTCCTCTTCAATATCACCATTAAGGAAGGCTGTTGTGATATCATGGTGCTTCTCATTCAGTATCTCCTGAATGAAACCTCTTGTGGCCTGGTTTCTTCTTTTATTCTACTTGGATAGTCTTTTTCAGTTAATTTCTTTATTATATCAGGATTTCTGTGTCCAACTTATCTGGGTACTGGGTTTACTTCTGGTTTACCTATGGGTTGAAGCTGGACCCATAATCTGTTAGAAAATTCTGTTTTATTCTATAGAAATGGTAGAGGGTTATTATACAGCCATACAGATTGGTAGCAGAGGATGGTTACATAGCCATATACATCAAATAAAGTGTACAATGTACGGTCACCATGAGCCTTGATGCTTAACAGTTTCAACTATCACAGGAAACTCTCCTCAGAACATAAAGAACCATAATTATAACCATAGATGCAAACTAATCACTGCCATACACTGGCTGAATGCTTCTGTAGTTGTTGAAATACAAAATACATTCTAACATGTATTCCAACAATTATTTTCATTTCAGATATGGTTTCACAAAAGAAATTATGAAGAAGTATAAGGTTAGTATTTTATCTCATTTTGATAAAGGCCATCCGATTAGCAAAGCAACAGAACAGATTGTGCTGTTTTACCTAAATTACCAGGCCATTAGCAATTACTGGTCTAGAGGTCTCCTAAAAATACTTGCCTTCATTTGTTCCTATTTTATGTAAAGCCAAAATGAAGCTGCCCATAGGTCTTAAAGAATAGTTCAAGAGTGTCTAATGCAGCATTTCATTTGACAGAACTATGCGAAACCAATTTTGCATCTTCTAGAAGATGTCTACAGCTGGCTTCCTCTTGCTACTGTTATTGACAATCAAGTTCTTATTTTACATGGTGGAATATCAGATATGACAGATTTGAATTTCCTGAATTCATTCCACAGGAACAAGGTAGGAATTATACACATAAAAGTATTGTTATCTTACTGGTTTTAGCTCCAGTCTTGCTCACAAGAAGTAAAATTCTACTAACTTCTACTAAATGTACATATATACCTAATCTATATACAACATATATGTACATACTCCATACATATCTATATATGTACTGTATATATACTGTACATATACATATCAAGTATTATCTTAACTAAGTTCTTCAGAAAGGAAAAGACTTCTTTTTAGATAGTAGGTTCCAACTGTTTAGATTTAACTTATGACTAACAACTTTGAAAGAAATGTTACTGAAAACAAACAACTGCAGGAGTATAATTCTTTGACATTCCCTTGTCAAACAATAAGAGATACATTCCAAAGGTTTGCCCTCATAGTCACATACATACATACCTGAAAATATGTTTCCCTGAAAATATGACATGTCCTGATAATAAGGCCATGCCACATTTTTCTGGTGGGCAAAAATATAAGCCCTCCCCCGCAAATAAGCCCCCTGGACCTCCGGCAAGGCAGAGTGTCGCTCACCAACCTAGCGGTATCCTGAAGGTGCCAACCCACGGGAACTGGGGGGAGGCAAAGGTGATCGCATTGCTTGGTGCCTTCGGGATACCGCTAGGTTGGTGAGCGGCACTGTGCCCAGCTAAAGAGGGGGGTTGCCGGGCAGCTGCTCTCTTGCGAGCTGGCTCCCAAAGAGCTGGGCACAGCCTCAGGGTTGAATGGCTGTGTTGTGCTGTCGCAGCAGCGCAACACAACTGCCATGAAGTGACCATGCTCACGAGCAGCCACCCGGCAACCCCCCTCTTTAGCT